ATATGATTCTCTTTGCAGGGATATAAAGCCGGAAAACATTATGTTAGACGGAGAGGGCCATGTAAAAATTGCTGACTTTGGGTTAGCATGGACAAATGTGTTTGGTGAGCGCACAAAGAGTAGCATAGGTGGAACCATGGGATATGTTGCACCAGAGGTGAGATACAAACAGAAGAGTTAATGTGTCATTACTCTCATAGTCTCTGATACTATCATGATTCTTTATGGACAGTATGACACTTTAATTTCTCCTACTATTCTCTTGGCAGGCATTCTTAGGCATGAACCTTAGCGCCTCTGTTGACTGGTTTGCTTTTGGTGTGGTTCTCTATGAAATGTTAACAGGCAATTCACCATTTGATGATGGAGTCACAGATGAACGTACAATTGTAAGATCAGTGGTATATGGCACGCCAAAATATCCAGAATGGCTGACTGCCGAGGAAAAGGATATCTTACAAAAGGTGGGTATGAGCGGGCAGTATACAGTTAAATGTTTATCCATCCAATTGACAGTGTTTTCATAAAAGTTGTTTTTTTAATGAAAAAGTAACTTTTTGTGGCATGTTCCCCCCCTCAAAAAAAATAAAACGATAAGAAAAGGAAAAGAAAAGGGAAGCAAAATAATCTTATCTGTGATCCAGCACTGAGTTCGATTTCTTCCTGCAGCCCAATCCTACTCTGGTTATGGTACGTGTCCTCACTGCATGGGGAGGGATATCCATGAGGACAGGCAAAGGGAGAACTTGGGGAGGGGAGAACATGGGTGGCCTGGAGGGGGGTCATGCTGTATTGATTGACTATTATTCTGGGCTGGTAGATGATGCTGCCAATGGTGGAGTTACAAGTCTCGTAGCAAAGGACTTTAACTCTGTATGTGCAGCATTTCAAACTGAAACACTGCACATACAGGCTTCAAGGTGATATCATGAGATGAACAAAATATAGTAACAATGAGAAAGAAACAGTAGAAGGTATAGGAGTTGATGTTATCTGAGGGCCTTTCCTGGTAAGATTACTAGAGCCTTTGCCCTTTGTACATGAAGATATATTAGAAAATATATCTGGTACAGAAGTGGTAAATAAATAGGATTTATTCTTTACAAATTCCATGTAAGAAATTATTGGTATCTATAGCAAGCTCATATGTACTATATAAAAATATGATAAAAATATGCAATTTCTGGAAGTACAGAGGTTGTTGGCAAACTAACACCATATTGGTCACCACCGTCGAATGTTCCAGGACAGGGGCAGCAAGTAAATAATAAAAACCATAATGTCATCTGAAACAAAAACTGAAGAGTGCTCTACTCAAATGCACTTACAATCTAGAATACTATGACCCAACTCTTGTTATGTACATCAGTCATGCTGTTAGTACATGTTCTCTTATTACTCTATTAGAACAACATTTGAACTTTGTTTTATTAATGTCAGTGTTGCACAACAAGACACTACTGCAGCCCAGTGTCTGATACCATACGCTCAACTGTGGTTTAGCATGATAGTATGCAGCCTGATAAATAAACAGACCAGTACTTTATACATCTGGTGGAGGGTATAGAGTAAATTGTGTGGAGCTCATTTTAGAACACCAAATAACCATAGGCTAATGCTGTTTTGGCTTATAAGTATCTATATTGTGGATGTACTTCACGAGTAACGCCAAGCCTCCATAGCAAGTCAGTAACCAACCTCATGCTGAGTTGCATTAACAATGAAACAGCTGTCCATGAGTGGTTCACTGGCTTTGCTCCTCTTCCTGAGTTGTGTTTCGAAGCTGTTGTATACAGCAGACACATACTTCAAGGAATCCATGTGTAAAGTATTAGAAAATATATCTGGTACAGATTAATAGGCTTTATTCTTTACAATTTATATGTAAGAAATAATTTGTATCTATATTAATGTCATATGAACTATAGAATGATAAAAATAAGCAATTTATATATCTGTTGGAGGGTATATAGAGTAAAAAGTGTGAAGCTCATTGTAGAACACCCAAGTAACCCTAGGCTCTGCAGGGACACAAACACAGTGGAGTAATATACATTATAGCTAATCCACAGAAACGTGAAATGATTATTAATTATTTTAGTGTTGAAATTTGCATCTTGCTGCCTTCTGTTTTGAACTGTGTTTTTAGCAAATTATATTTTTCAGTTTATTTCCAAAAAAAAAATCTTATATTTACTAAACACTTGCTATTATTTCTTTTTTTAGCTCTTGTGTAAAGATCCATATTTCAGACTTGGGGTGGCCTCTAAAATTGAGTCACATCCTTTCTTCAGCTCAATTGACTGTAATGAAGTTCAGGCCCGAAAAGCCACCCCCCCACCTGAACTACAAGAAGTGAGTATATACATAGCTATGGTATATCAGAATGGTAGAAAGGGCCAACAAATTCAGGATACCTTCCTAAACAGCATAACGTGGGACAGGTTCGTTTAATAGACTATCAGGGATATTTACTGAAGTGAGAACTTAAGATGGATTCAAAATGAATTTAAAATTTAGGCCAGAGTAGCTGAATAGAGCCCAGAGCTTATCTAGAGAATTATTTCCAGTCCGGCTACTTTGACTTTAACTTTGTAATTCACTTTCAATCCACCTTAAAATCTCAAGTCAGAGAATAACCCCATAAGTCTTACAGGTCACTAAAGAGAGAATTTAAAGTGAATTCAAAGTGAAGTTCAAATTTGAGGTCAAAAGTCAACCGTGATTCCAATTCAGCTACTTTGTCCTTAAATGTGAAATGTACTTTGCATTCTCACTGTAGTGAATAAACGTGCAAGTTTACATATATACAACCTCGCACATAAACACACACATCACACAAAGGCACACGTTCCAAGAAACACAGACATACATTAGTGAATTAAGAGCAGGAACGACTAGCATTCGATCCCTCCCATGTGTCTAATTGCATAAAATCAGGCATTCACAGAGTGAAACAGAGCTTCAGCTATAGAATTCACCCTTGTCCTAGTGCTTATTGTTTTGTACAGTATCTTCTAAACTCAGTTTTTCCATTAATCGGTTTTCAGTTTTGCTTGGATCTTCAGAAGAACGGAGCTAAAAAATTCAGTGAACATATAAAATCACCGGGAGCCTCTGCATCACAACCCATGCTTTCTGGAGACCAGTGGCTTTTCAGTGACTTTTCTTTTCAGACGTCTTTGCCACTCACCACTCCTACCCCTACTAAGTCTCCATGTAAAAGAAAGAGAGAGTGCATCGTTCCTGATAGCCGTAGTAAGCCTCCCTGCAAAAGAAAGAGAGAGCGCATCGTTCCTGATAGCCGTAGTAAGCCTCCCTGCAAAAGAAAGAGAGAGTGCATCGTTCCTGATAGCCGTAGGAAGTCTCCATGTAAAAGAAAGAGAGAGTGCATCGTTCCTGATAGCCGTAGTAAGCCTCCCTGCAAAAGAAAGAGAGAGTGCATCGTTCCTGATAGCCGTAGTAAGCCTCCCTGCAAAAGAAAGAGAGAGTGCACCGTTCCCGATAGCTGTGCTAAGCCTCCCTGCAAAAGTAAGAGAGAGTGCATCGTTCCTGATAGCTGTACTAAGCCCCCCTGCAAAAGAAAGAGAGAGTGCATCGTTCCTGATACCTGTACTAAGCCCCCCTGCAAAAGAAAGAGAGAGTGCATCGTTCCTGATAGCTGTGCTAAGCCTTCCTGCAAAAGAAATAGAGAGTGCATTGTTCCTGATAGCCGTACTAAGTCTACATGTAAAAGAAAAATACATTATTGAGATATAAAAGATAGTAGAATTATTAAAAAAAATTATTAAAGGAGAAAGCATCAACAAAAGTGTGGTTTGTTGTGATCATTGGTTTGAAATTCCATTACAATCTGCTGTACCTTGCATGAAACCTCTTAATAAACCTTCACACATCGTGTCTGTCTGGCCATTTACCTGGAGACACTCTACCACTCACCCCAGGAATCTTCCCATTCAGTCAGTCTGCCTATTCCCTCTGAGTCTCCAAGGATTTGCTAATTCACTCTGAGAATAAGTCCATTGAAAAAATGCTGAGATTTCAACATCCCGTCTTTGCCCCCACATATCTCTGTAATTTGCCCTTTCATCTCTCAGGGCCTAAGAACATGTCCAACGCTCCTGGAGCCAAGCAAATCTGTCTGGCCAACTATAATATCTGACTATCCCATAGAGCCTGGAAACATTGCTTCAAATACTCTGAGACCTTGAGATTGTGTCCACTCACGCAGAGACAGAAGTAGTAGTGCATGCTCACAATAGGACCAAACCGCGAAATAGGGATCAACCTCTATGTTAGAGCAGATACCAATACTGATACCAATAATCTGTGAACTTTCATGCCGATAGCCGATAACTTACCGATACCGATATTCTGTAGATTTACCATTTTTAAAAAAAGAAAACATTTCTACACAAATCTACTGTTAACTGAACATGTTTATTATTTATTTATTTTTGCAATTCTTTTTTTTTATTAAGTGGTAAAAGCACAAAATATACATGCCAGTCAGATTTTTTTTTTTATGTTTTCAAGCATATTTAGTGTACCTCTCCCCTCCCATCCCTGTCCCTTAGTGTTCCTCTCTCCTCCCCTGCTTGTCCCTTAGTGTACCTCTCCCCTCCCTGTCCCTTAGTGTTCCTCTTCCCTCTCTCCACCCCTCATTAGTGTTTCTGTCCCCTCCATGTTCTTTAGTGTCCCACCTTAGTGGTCCTCTCCCCTGTGCCTCATTACCTCTCTTGTAGCATGGCGGAGCGGACCGCGGTACGGGAGCTTTAGTTTCACAGAAAGTGCTCCCTAAGTCTGGTCGGGTACAGGAAACTGAAGCTCCTGTACCGTGGTACGCTCTGCTCCACTCGACCACGCTGCTCTTCCTTCCTGATGGTCACTCGATTCTTCCGCCCCCAGTGCGGTGCGCCCTAATGCGGCCGTGTGTTCCGCCTTATGGACGCACTGGCCCTGCATGCGCTGGGCCACTGCTGCCTCTCACATTATTGTCAATATCGGTACCAATAGTGCCCGATACCGATTTTTGCCAAAATCCAGAATATTGGCCAACAATATCGGCCAAACCGATAATTTGTCTATCCCTACCTTGAACTAAACATAAACAAACCATGTGCTATAAAACATAAAAATACCAAATCCGTGGCTGGGATAGCCGGCACAGAGATACAAAAATATAACAATAATGTGTTTTTACCCAACAAGATGAACTTAATCATGGTGTTATGTATTGGGTTGTTATGCAGTCCACCTTCCAGCAGATGGCAGCATTGTGAATTTATGCACTTATTTTCTGTTTGTGTTATTGTCTCTTGTGTTATAGTCTTACTGTTGTGTGTGTGCGCTGAAGTCCTGTTTTCACTACTTACGAGCCACTTTATAATTATATAACATTCAAATACACAAAACTGGCGACAAGGATGGGATGTCAGTAAGTGGACAATGCAGAATATATATAAAGGAAATAAAATCAATAAAAGTGAGAAAGTAAAACTTTTCTTTTGGAAATCTATTATTTACAAATATCTCCAGCATGGCTTCTCTGGGACACACGGAGGAATTTAATCTTGCTAATCCAGCCTCATGGGACTCCTATGCTGAGCGGTTAGTGTTTTTCCTGGAAGCTAATAAGGTGGTGGATGCTATTCAGAAGAGAGCCGTGTTACTGAGTGTTATTGGATCTAAGACTTTTGATTCTGTCCACTCACTGATATTTCCTGCTAAACCACAAGACTGCTCAATTGAAGAAATACTGGCACTGTTAAAAAATCATTTAGCACCCACCCCATCTGAAACAGTGAGACATTTCCATTTCAATAGAAGAAATCAGCAACCAGTTGAAAGAATTGCAGCATACATTGCAGAACTGCACAGGCTGTCTGAAAATTGTAATTTTGGCACCAGCTTAGAATCCTTGTTAAGGGACAGGCTTGTGTGTGGGGTGCAAGATGAAGCACTGCAGAGGAGACTTCTTGCAAGACAGAATTTAACTTTTATTATTGCACAAGAGGAAGCGCTCGCAAATGAGGCTGCATATGTCCACTCAAAAGAGATACAATCCTTCTCCAGCAAAGAGAACTCACCTGAAATAAATATAGTGAAGAAGATTGATATTAAATCAAAGGCCTTTTCACCACGCACTGATGTCACAGTTCCATTTAAAGGAACTTGTTATAGTTGCGGTGGTAAACATAGGCGTAATATATGTCGTTTTCGAAATGCAGTTTGCCACAAATGTAAACGTAAAGGTCACATACAGAAAGTTTGCCAAAGACAAGCCAGTGGAATACAAATCCAATATAAGAATGTGGATACAATACCAACCGCAGCGCACTCTGTTAATACTCCACATTCCGTTTCAGATAGTGAAATAACTACAGATGTTTACTCAAATGACTATGTAAATAAAGTGGAGAATTCGGCATCAGGACTGACGATTTACACTGAGATTGTGCTGCAAGATGTTCCATGCAAAATGGAAGTAGATTCCGGGCGCGCATATTCTTTGATTTCAGAAGAGACATTTACCTGGTTATGGGCTCATAATGGCCTTTCAATACTAACTTGTGATATTCATCCGGTGGACTACAACAAACAGGCTATGGATGTCAAGGGGGCTTCTTTTATACCTGTAAAATATGGTAAATTCAGAGGACACTTACGTTTAATAATTACTAAGTGACAAAGAGCAAGTTTGCTAGGTAGAGAGTGGTTTGAACCCCTAGGCATTTCATTAACTGGAGTTAATAATGTATCCACAGATATTCTACAGAATCTGATTGATAAATTTAGTGCAGGTTTTGAAGAAGGTCTTGGAATGTAAAGGCCCTCCTGTTTCTTTTGTATTAGATTCAACAGTACCCCCAATTTGTATGAAGCCTCGCAGAGTTGCATTAGCTCTCAGACCAAAAATAGATGCTGAGTTTACACTTCTTGTGGAACAAGGTATACTCGAAGCCGTAACACACCCTAGGTTGTGTACACCCATAGTTCCGATGATAAAACCAAATGGTGATGTCGGAATCTGTGCTGACTACAAATTTACAATCAACAAAGCAAGAGCCTCCCTATCAAATTCCAGCTGTTAATCAAATTCCTACTACCTTGGCAAAATGAAAGGTATTTGCCAAGTTGGATATGGCTCAAGCCTACCAGCAGTAACCTGTTGATGAGGCTGCTGATGAACAAACGATAATGACACATAAAGGAGTTTTCCGAGCAAGACGGTTGCAGTTTGGAGTTTCCATTGCTTCTGGCATATTCCAGAATTTAATGGAGGACCTCTTATCTGGACTTCCAGGTGTAGTGCCTTTTTTATATGACGTTCTTATTGAAGCAGAGTGTATACAGTCAATGGTTGCACAGCTACAACTTGTTTTGCAACCTTTTCTTGATGCTGGTCTAAAACTTAAAAAAAGAAAAGTATGTTTTTGGTGTAAGCAGCGTGGATTTCCTTGGTTACAGTGTGATGTACATGGCATTCATCCAACTGATTCTAAGGTTGAAGCTATCCATAGAGCTCCAGTTCTAGCAAACACACAAGAACTACAAGCTTTCTTAGGGTTTCTTAATTTTCACCATTCTTTCCAGCCTGACAAAGCCACTGTTGCTGAACCTCTGCACTAGATAAAGATGCTCCATGGAGGTGGACTGACATTCATACTACCGCTTTCAGTGCTACAAGAAAACTGTTGTCCTCTGGCAGTGTACTTGTACACTATGAATTGGAGAAACCGCTCAACCTCACCTGCAATGCTTCTCCGTACAGCATAGTGCATAGGGCTGTATTGAGTCACACTGTGAGAAATGATGTTGAGGCTACTATTGCGTTTTATTCACAGACTTTATCTACTACAGAGAGAAATTACGCCCACATTTGACAAGGAGGCTTTGGCTATTGTGTCTGGTGTAAAAAAGTTTAATGACTATTTGTATAGGTGGAGGTTTACTATTATAACAGATCATAAGACTTTACTGGGTCTGTTCACCAGCAATACTCCCACTCCTCAAATTATTTGCCCATGCATGCTCAGGTGGTCCCTTATGCTGTATGCCTATGATTATGAGTTCAAGTATTGCCCTGGCAAGGATACCTCAAACATTGGTAGTAGTCCAGCAGAGCTCCTTATGAACCAGCGTCTTAAAACTTGTCGGATTGTTTACATCCTGATTTGACATCTGAGTTACAAGAAGCGAGAATTGCAATTCAATAAGAACTATGATGCTTCTACTGTGAGAGTATTTGCACCTGACAGTGCTGTCTATGTCAGAAACTATGTTTCTGGGCCTAAGTGGATACCTGCAAAAGTACTTGTGGCCACAGGACCTTTGTCATAAAAAGTACAAATTCCTGATGGTAGAATATTACGAAGGCATGTTGATCAGATCTGCGAGTGATGAGATTGTGTCTGCTGTCATATTGGGTTTTCTGTAAAGCCAGATGATGGTGAACCATTGGATGATACAGGTGTCAGTTCTCCAGGAGTTGTTGTTGCAGAACCAGTTTCTTGTGGATCATCTGAGAGAGCACAGGAAGAAAGGATGGGCACAACTGAAGGTCCAGGTGAAGCAGCTCCAAACTTGGCCCTTGGGCGCCCAAAAAGATATATTCACCCTCCCAGTTATCTCAGGAGGGAGGGCTAAATCATTAGAACTTGCTACGCCGTCCTAATGGCGTTAAAGCAATCCTAAAGGGGTTATTGGGTTAAACTGCCATCCTAGGTGCATTGATAGCGTTTCTACTGGTCCTGTTATAAATGTATAAGCAAAAGGCCTTAATGTGTATTGCATGCAGAAAAGAAGGAAAGGTGGGGTGTGATACTTCAACATTAAAAGACCTAATACATTTTCAGATAGAAAGTGTTATAAAACATAGTTTATTCAAACATAATTTGATTTAAAAGTATCATAGACATACCACTTACTGGGAACTGTGGAGAATTGCCATTTTAAGGTGAACTCTAGCGTTCCCTAGTGCTATTGCACAGTTTAATATCAAACTGTCTAGGAATAGACTTTCTGGCATAGAAGGACCACCCCCTACTTGATCACATGATAATGTAGAATTAAAGGGACACGCTTGTAGCAGAGCTCCTGTACTCTGACTGAGTTCCTCCACCAAGTCAGTTTACTATCTGCTACCAGGGGACTCTGGAGCAATTCAGACCCGGTTACCAAAGCTTGACTGGGGTCATTGAGGACCTCTTCCACCCGACCATGCTGCAGTTCACTCCTTCCTGGCAGGTATCATCCCTCTGCCTTTGCCTCTTCTGTTCCTCTCAATTGCCGGTATCAACACCTCTGCCTATAGTGTCTCCAACTACTGCCTCTACAAAGGCACTTGTGGCTCACAGACGTAGCTCTTTCTTAACTCGTCCTGGGAATCAGGGAACAGTGCAGCCAGCCAACACATCCGAAAACACTGTTATTGAGATCCTTGAACACACCAAACAGGACACACAGTTCCCAATGGTACTAACACACACCACATTACTACAGAATCTAGCCCTTTTGGCGGAAATTCACAGCATATTACTCTCAATTAAGCTGAGAAAAACAATGATGTGTGCAGGCAGTGAATGGTACTACTGCAGTAATCGTTATAAACTTAACCCTGAAGTATTTTATCTATTTAAGTAAAACACTACAGAGATTATAAAGATTTACATGTGTCACATGTGTCAATAGGGCAGACCAGTTACACTATCTATGGTCCCAACCACTCAAAATACATTAACAGGCTTTACATGTACTGCTAGAGCAGATCTAATTTGAAAGCTGTAGGCCCCTTGTTACTTGATTTTTTTTTCTTTCCATTTTTTACATACAGATCCACATAGAACCACAACATTCCTAATAGAGGAAATGGCTTGCCTCCATTAGGCCGCTATTCTTTTTCATGGACCATGCTAACAGTTTGGCTCTAACGAATCCTTGAGTAATGACCCACCTCTTATTTATGTATTTTCCAGGTCCTACTGGCCACAGATGTCATCAGCAAACAAAAGATGGCTGTAAAAATAGTAAAAAAGAGATGCCTCTTAAACCAAAATAAGGAGGCCATTCATGTTGAGCGTCGGGTGCTGGAGATCGCTAGTGGGAGTCCATTCCTTACCCACGCGTATTCCACATTCCAAACCAAGGTACAAGAGTGACATCCAGATTAACTCCTTTGTTGCTGGTTAATAAAGCTAGGCATTGCTACAATATTACCAGTCAATCTGTAAACATTACATAGTTTGAATGTAGAACTAACCATATGTGCAATTAACTATTTTTTTTTTTTTTATTGAATAGAATTTTTTATGTGTTTTTTATAGAAAGAATTACATCTGCACACATAATAGCAAAATAGTGCAAAAATGGCAATTGGTTCGATCTGCAGTGGCCTAGCAAGGGTGGGTGGTGGTGGGGGGGTCTGCCCCGAAAGGCACTTTTTGGGGGGCGGCAAGATCCCTGCTCCCACCCTCTGGTGCAGAGAGAGAGGGGAAGAGTCGGGGCAGGATGGGAAGTGAGGTCACTTCCTGTGCTCTCCTGCCCTGCGAGTGAAGAGTAAGAGCAGCCTGGCAGAGACATCAGTTAAGTTCTTCCCTGCACAACCCACACTCACAGCCCCCCTCTCCATGACAGCCCCCCTCCCTGTACACATCACCTCTCCCCCTGCCTCCCTGACAGCCCCCCTCACTCCCCTGTACATATCCCTAGTCCCCTTCCCTGCACAGACCCATCTCACTCCTCCCTCCCCTGCACAGATCCCCTCTCCCCCTGCCTCCTTTGCCCAGATACCTCTCTCCCCTGCACAGAACCCTCTCCCACCTCCTCCTCCCCCTCCCCTCATGGTCCCCTCCCCTGCATAGATCCTCTTCCCTCCACAGACTCTTCTCTCCCCAGCACAGATTCCCCCTCCCCATATAGATCCCCTCTCCCCTGCACAGATCAACCTCTCCTTGCCCCTGCCTGACAGTCCCCCTCACTCCTGTACATATCCCCTCCCCTGCCTCTGACAGTCCCCTGTACAGATCCCCTCTCCCCTCCCTCCCCCTGCCTCCCATGCACCCTTACAGTCACCCTCCCTCCCCTGTACAGATCGCCTCTCCCCCCTGCACCGTCCCACTCCCTTCCTGCCAATAAAACAATGTGTATAAAAAATTTAATTCAATAAGTGTGTTTCCTTTCACACCAATAAAAAGTCAAATATACTGAAACACTTCAGTAACAATAATTATTTATAGGAACACTCTGCCCAAATGGGCTAACCCCTCCCCATAAAAATCACTGTTCAGTATATATGCCACCAATGAATTACATGCATTAATTTTTCATGCATGTATTCATTGGGTGTATATCTTAAAAAAAATCTTGAAAAGGTTGTTTTGTTGGGCTAGAGGCGTTGAGTACTTAAAAGAGGTATGTCTGGTGCAGCCACGGACGTCCGCAACTGCACCGGACATGATGTTGGGCCGACAAACTCAGGGTAGCACTGGGCGGCAAAAGCTCTAGCTACGCCACTGTTGACCTGGCTTTATTTGACTTGTCATGTATAACCTGACCAGATTAGATTTGCACATCCTTAGAGCGAAGTCCCTATGTTAATAAGGACTATTGAGATCAAACTTCGCAGCACAGTTAACTAGAATGAATTTATTATATAAAATATCTAAAAAAAACTTTATTAACGTGTTTCTGCATTAAATACATTTTACATTGAAAGTAAATAATTCACTCTTTCAATCTCCACCCAAAGCTAGAATATCCTGTCTCCATCAGTGTGCTAAACTGTCTGATCTAATCCTTACCAACCCCTGCCTATTATCATTTCACAATTAGCTCTCATTGCTACCTGAAAGGGCTGCATTAATTGACACAAGGGCATTAAAGGGCATCGATACTGCCCCATTGATCACAGCTTTTTACAAGTATTCCTTATCACATTTCTAACACAATCACCAAGGAAAATAACATGACAGTAAAAATCAACTGTGCCCATGTTGTAAACTGTACCTTTTTTCCTCAAACAGGACTATCTTATATACGTCTTAGAGTATTTAAGTGGAGGAAATCTATGGAATTTAATATCTGAACATAGTTCACTTTTAAAGAGCGCCACAAGGTAAGATGTTAAAACTGGAATATAGAATTGGTATGAGAGGTAGAATGAGAGATCATTGAGAAAGGATGAACCTCTCTCTTAGTCAGGGATAGGCAACCTTCGGTAAGCCAGATGTTGTGGACTACATCCCCTATAATGCTCTTACACCCATAATGCTGGCAAAGCATCATGGGAGGTGTAGTCCAAAACATCTGGATTGCCAAAGTTCTTTACGTTCAAAAATATATTTATTTGTCACCATTTTCGCCCAATTTCTCATTCTTTAGATTCATAGCTGCAGAAATAGTTTGTGGGCTGAAGTTCCTCCACAGCAAAGGCATCCTCCACCGGTAAACACTTAAATTCCTTTCCTTAATTAACATTTTCTGAACACTCTTATTGCTGCTGCTTGTTTTCTGTCCTTATTGTTTATTTATTACCAATAAATCCAACTTTATCCTCTCCATGCCCAAAGATCTTATTAAAAGTGGAGTTCTCATACAACGTAGATGTCCTGCACTCAGGTTCTCACACTCTGTCTCCATTTTTAGCATTTCTATTAGTAATCAGTGCGCCATTAGAGTGGTATAGCTGGAACCCCATATATTGAGCTTGTCTGCATGGCCTGCACCGCTGGTATGTCCAGAGGCCCTCAGGAGATGAATACAAGCAATGTGCATTGTATCTCTCTATTCACGCTGTTGTAGAACAGTGTTTGGGGAACAGTATAACAGATGCCAGGATAGGTACCTATTGGCAGGGGCCTCATCATTACTATTTCAGCATGCATTACCGTGAATTAGAGAGATATGAATATCACTGTGACAGAAGTCACCACCACTAGTGGCTGAAGATGGACACTTTATGTAGATCCCCAGATTACTCTTATGTTTATCATGTGGCCATTATAGGTGCAGGGTGTGCATGATGTAAATTGTTAATTATTGAATGTTTTGAGTGCTCTCCTGTTCTGCTGATTCTCTCAACCAGTTAGGTGGATTTGGCTGGGAAGCCTGTACATAGGTACCTGTTGGCAGGGGCCTCATCATTACTGTTTCAACATGCATTACAGTGCATTAGAGGTCAGAATATCACTGTGAAAGTAGTCATGATACCTGCCTGGAAGGAAAGAGCTGCAGCCTGGTCAGGTGAAAGAGTTCCTGAGAGACCACCGTCAAGCTTTGGTAAATGGGGTCTGAAGTGTTCTTGAGTCCCCTGTGGCAGCGAGGAAGTGGACTTGGCAGAGGCACTCAGTTGGAGTACGGGAGCTATATCACAAGCTCTATCAGACCAAGCCCTACATGCCTAATGTTTTCATTACAATGATCATTTTCAGTCCTCTTGTTTAATTCTTTTTTGGGGTAGAATGGAGAAAGACATGGCTTTCATTTCTCTATTCTCAGAAAAATATTATTTAAAGCTTTATTAATATTATTAAAAACTGTCTACACTGATGTTAGGTCTTCTGTATTAAATGAAACTATAGTGAACATCATATGATTCTCTTTGCAGGGATATAAAGCCTGAAAACATTATGTTAGACGGAGAGGGCCATGTAAAAATTGCTGACTTTGGGTTAGCATGGACAAATGTGTTTGGTGAGAGCACAAAGCATGGAGTAGGTGGAACCATGGGATATGTTGCACCAGAGGTGAGATACAAACAGTAGAGTTAATGTGTCATTACTCTCATAGTCTCTGATACTATCATGTTTCTTTATGGACAGTATGACACTTTAATTTCTCCTACTGTTTTCTTGGCAGGCATTCCTAGGCATGAATCTTAGCGCCTCTGTTGACTGGTTTGCTTTTGGTGTGGTTCTCTATGAAATGTTAACAGGCAAGTCACCATTTGATGATGGAGCCACAGATGAACGTAAAATTGTAAGATCAGTGGTATATGGCACGCCAAAATATCCAGAATGGCTGACTGCACAGGAAAAGGATATCTTACAAAATTTGAGTGGGCATTATACAGTTAAATGTTTATCCATCCAATTAACAGTGTTTTCATAAAAGTTTTTTTTTTATGAAAATGTTACTTTTTGTGACATGGTCCCTCCTGCTAAAAAAAAAAAAAAAAAAAAATATATGATAAGTAAAGGAAAATAAACTTACCTGTCATCTAGCACTGAGTTTCATTTCTTCCTGCAGCCCAATCCTACACTGGTTATGGTACGTGCCCTCACTGCATGGGGAGGGATATCCAGGAGGACAGGCAAAAGGAGAACTATGGGAGGGGAGAATATGGGTGTCATGGAGGGGGCTCATTCTGTCTTGGTTAAATATTGTTCCGAGCTGGTAAATGCTGCCGCCAGTTACAAGTCTGGCAACAAATAACTTTAACTCTCTCTGTTCAGCATTTCAAACTGAAACACTGCACATACAGGCTTCAACCACAATGACTACTTCAAAACAATAAACTAGTCATGGTGTTTTGATTATCTCTTTAAGGAATATGAGAAGAGCAGTGACTGTATGGTATAGCTTTATTAAAGAATAGATGCTATCATAAGATGAACAAAATATACTAACAAAGAGAAAGAAACAATAGAAGGTATAGGAGTTGATGTTATCTGAGGGCCTTTCCAGGTAAGATTACTAGAGCCTTTGTCCTTAGTACATGAAGATATATTAGATTAATAGGCTTTATTCTTTACAATTTATATGTAAGAAATAATTTGTATCTATATTAATGTCATATGAACTATAAAATGATAAAAATAAGCAATTTATATATCTGTTGGAGGGTATATAGAGTAAAAAGTGTGAAGCTCATTTTAGTACACCAAGTAACCCTAGGCTCTGCAGGGACACAAACACAGTGGAGTAATATACATTATAGCTAATCCACAGAAACGGGAAATGACTATGAATTATTTTAGTGTTGAAATTTGCATCTTGCTGCCTTCTGTTTTGAACTGTGTTTTTAGCAAATTATATTTTTCAGTTTATTTCCGAAAAAAAAATCTTATATTTACTAAACACTTGCTATTATTTCTTTTTTTAGCTCTTGTGTAAAGATCCATATTTCAGACTTGGGGTGGCCTCTAAAATTGAGTCACATCCTTTCTTCAGCTCAATTGACTGGAATGAAGTTCAGGCCCGAAAAGCCAGCCCCCCACCTGAACTACAAGAAGTGAGTATATACATAGCTACGGTATATCAGAATGGTAAAAAGGGCCAACAAATTCAGGATACCTTCCTAAACAGCACAACGTGGGACAGGGTTGTTTAACCCCTTAAGGACTGGACTGTTTTTGCGATGTTGTACATTTGCGACCAGGCATATTTTTACACTTTTGTGGTGTTTGTGTTTGGCTGTAATTTTCCGCTTTCTCATTTACTTTTCCATACAAATTATATATTGTTTTTTTCAGGACAAAAGGGGCTTTCTTTACATACCATTATTTATATAATCTCATGTATTTTAATTTAAAAAAAATACAAAAATCTGATGAAAAATTTAAAAAAATACATGTTTTTTGACTTTTACTTGAAAAATCTTTTACTCATCTACAAAAGCGAATGAAAAAAACTGCTAAATAGATTCAAAATTTTGTCCTGAGTTTAAAAATACCCAGTGTTTACGTGCTTTTTTGCTTGCATGTTATAGGGCTATAGGTACAAGTAGGATATTGCGGTTTCAAAACATACATTTTTAAAATTTATCAATAGTGACATTGTAACACTATTATCTGTCATAAATCTCTGAATAACACCCCACATGTACATATTTTTTTTAAAGTAGACAACCCAGGGTATTCAATATGGGGTATGTCCAGTCTTTTTTAGTAGCCACTTAGTCGAAAACACTGGCCAAAGTAAGCATTCATATTTGTTTGTGTGTGAAAAAAGTAAAAAAACTAAATTGAACGCTAATTTTGGCCAGTGTTTGTGACCAAGTGGTTACTAAAAAAGACTGGACATACCCCATTTGCAATACCTTGGGTTGTCTTCTTTTGCAAATGGTATGCCATCATGGGGGTAATTCTCATTCCTGGGCTACCATACGCTCTCAAAGGCAACGTAACCAACCTGGCCATTTTCAATGTAAAAATATTTGACCCATATATTTGACCTTGTAACTTTCAAAAATGCTATAAAACCTGTACATGGGGGGTACTGTTTTACTCGGGAGACATCGCTGAACACAAATATTAGTGTTTAAAAACTGGAAAATGTATCACAACAATTATATCATCAGTAAAAGTGCTGTTTGTGTGTGAAAAATGAAAAAAAGTAACTTTCACTGACAATATCATCACTGTGATATGTTTTACTGTTTTGAATCACTAATATTTGTGTTCAGCGAAGTCTCCCGAGTAAAACAGTACCCCCCATGTACAGGTTTTAGGGTGTCGTAGAACGTTACAGGGTAAAATACAGTGCTAGCAAATTAAATTCTCTGGAATTTCGGCCTGGGTTGGCAGGCAGGTCCCTCAAATTGCAATCAATAAAATTACTGAATTATGTAAAAATATTACATAAATACGCACGTAGAATTTAAATATATATGCATATTTATATATTTGAAGTCTACGTGTATATTTATATAATTATTTATGTAATTTTGTATATGGACGTATGTATATTTCTTATTATTTTTATTTATTTTTATATACATAGATATATATACAAATTCATTCTAAGTGTATTTTGATATAAATATATATATATTAATTTTAAAATACAGTTAGAATAAAATTTCATATAGATATATAATTTTTTAAATTTTTATTATTATTTAAAAAAATTTATTTAATTTAAATTACTTATTATTTATATTTTATAATAATATATATATACACAATATATATAGTTATTATATATATTATATATATACGTGTGTAATTTAATTATAAGTGTATTTTTATATTAATATAAGTACATATTAATGTAAAAATACACTTAGTATGGCATTATATATATGATATATAGACATATATTATATAATTATTTTTTTTTTTATTAACATTAACTTTATTTTTTTTTTTTTATTTTACACTAGCAGGGAGACTGCCTGTCAGCACAGACAGTCCCCCTGCAGGCAGACACATGGACACCTATTGTGACCATGTGATCGCTGTGTTAAGCGATCACATGGCCACAGGGGTCCTAATCTGCCGTGGGGAGACTGTCTGGGCTGCAGGCAGTCTCCCCACAACCGGAGCCACGCTGATCGCCGCCGGGGGAACGACGGCGATCAGGTAAGTAACTCTGACCGTTAGGACGGTTCAGGACCGTCATCGGTCCTCAAGGCAAAAATGCCGATGACGGTCCTGAACCGTCCTCGGTCCTTAAGGGGTTAATAGACTATCAGGGATATTTACTGAAGTGAGAACTTAAGATGGATTCAAAATGAATTTAAAATTTAGGCCAGAGTAGCTGAATGGAGCCCAGAGCTTATCTAGAGAATTATTTCCAGTCTGGCTACTTTGACTTTAACTTTGTAATTCACTTTCAATCCACCTTAAATTCTCACTTAAAATAATAACCCTGTAAGTCTTACAGGTCACTAAAGAGAGAATTTAAAGTGAGTTCATAGTGAAGTTCAAATTTAAGGTCAAAAGTCAGCTGTGATTCCAATTTAGCTACTCTGTCCTTAAATGTGAAATGTACTCTGCATTCTCACTGTAGTGAATAAATGTGCAAGTTTGCCCCTGACGACGGAGTTTGAGTACGCCGATATGCGCGTTGTGCGTTTTGCTTTGGTTTCACTTTATTTTACACCTTTTGGGTAGCACTATGGGCACTGTTTAGTTCATTTGTCTTGCTTTTACCGTAAGACTGCTGGTCTGTGCGGTGTCAAGGTAACCTAGGGACAGCGTATAGCTCCTATTTTTCGTAATACTATTAGGTCCTAACTGGATTGGTTCCTTGGATTGATGTACATAGGCTTTCATAGTCACTGTCCCCTGTGGGTTGCGGACCTGGATCACCCTCTATCAATGAGGAGAGTTACTTGGGCATCACTTCAAGTATTTTTCTTGTATCATATATCAGAGTTTTTGTCTGTTTTGCCCTCTCCCCTAGGTCTTAATATGGTAATATTGGTCTTTTCCCATTTTTATCTTAGATTCATTAAAGGTAGCGTTCTTGTTTCTTATTTTACATATTCTTTCCACTTTTCTGGGCTCTTTCTCAGTGTGTTCCTTTTTGTTTAGAGGACCACGCTGATATCCTTTTTGATCTTTGTATTTTACGTTTAAGGGTTACCCCCTTCTTAAAGGACCACTCTGGGCACCCAGACCACTTCAGCTTAATGAAGTGGTCTGGGTGCCAGGTCCTTCTAGGGTTAACCCATTTTTTCATAATTATGAATGGGTTAAGCCTTCCCCCTAATCCTCTAGTGGCTGTCTCATTGACAGCCACTAGAGGCGCTTGCGTGCTTCTCACTGTGATTTTCACGGTGAGAGCACGCAAGCGTCCATAGGAAAGCATTGTAAATGCTTTCCTATGCGACGGGCTGAATGCGCGCGCAGCTCTTGCCGCGCGTGCGCATTCAGCCGGCGGGGCGGATCGGAGGCGGAGAGGAGGCAGAGAGCTCTCCGCCCAGCGCTGGAAAAAGGTAAGTTTTTAACCCTTTCCTCCTTCCAGAGCCGGGCGGGAGGGGGTCCCTGAGGGTGGGGGCACCCTCAGGGCACTATAGTGCCAGGAAAACGAGTATGTTTTCCTGGCACTATAGTGGTCCTTTAAGAGCACAGTTTAGGCGACTGTCCTCCATTTTGGAGGTTAGATGCCGTGGCACCCTTTCTCCCTATTGTGGAGGGAGTGGTGACCACTGCATCATATCATTTCTTTGGCTAAGAGCAGGAATGATTAGCATTCAGTCCCTCCCATGTGTCTAATTGCATAAACTCAGCAAGTTACACAGTGAAACAGAGCTTCACCTATATAATTCACCCTTGTCTATGTGCTTATTGTTTTGTACAGTACTTTCTAAACTTGGTTTTATGTTCTGTTTACAGTTTTGCTTGGATCTTCAGAAGAACAGTGCAAAAAAATTCATTGAACATATCAAATCACCAGGAGACTCTGCATCACAACCCATGCTTTCTGGAGGCCAATGGCTTTTCAGTGGCTTTTCTTTCCAGATGTCTTTGCCACTCACCACTCCTATCCCTAGTAAATCCCCATGTAAAAGAAAAAAAGAGAGTGCATCGTTCCTGATAGCTGTACTAAGTCTCCATTAAAAAGAAAGAGAGAGTCCATTGTTCCTGATAGCTATATTAAGTCTCCATGTAAATGAAAACGAGAGTGCATTGTTCCTGATAGCTATACTAAGTCTCCCTGCAAAAGAAACAGAGAGTGCATCGTTCCTGATAGCTGTACTAAGCCTCCCTGCAAAAGAAACAGAGAGTGCATTGTTCCTGATAGCTGTACTAAGTCTCCATTAAAAAGAAAGAGAGAGTGCATCGTTCCTGATAGCTATACTAAGCCTCCATGTAAAAGAAACAGAGTCCATTGTTCCTGATAGCTATATTAAGTCTCCATGTAAATGAAAACGAGAGTGCATTGTTCCTGATAGCTATACTAAGTCTCCTTGCAAAAGAAACAGAGAGTGCATCGTTCCTGATAGCTGTACTAAGCCTCCCTGCAAAAGAAACAGAGAGTGCATTGTTCCTGATAGCGTACTAAGCCTCCCTGCAAAAGAAAGAAAGAGTGCATCATTCCTGATAGCTATACTAAATCTCCATGTAAAAGAAAAAGAGAGTGCATCGTTCCTGATAGCTATACTAAGTCTCCATGTAAAAGAAAGAGAGAGTGCATCGTTCCTGATAGCTGTACTAAGTCTCCATGTAAAAGAAACAGAGAGTGCATCGTTCCTGATAGCTGTACTAAGCCTCCCTGCAAAAGAAAAAGAAATTGTTAAAATATAAAAGATAGAATAATTATTTCATTTATTAATAAACGAGAAAACATTAACAAAAGTGTGGTTTGTTGTAATCATTGGTTTGAAATTCCATTACAATCTGTTGTACCTTGCATGAAAACTCTTAATAAACCTTCACACATCGTGTCTGTCTAGCCATTTACCTGGAGACACTTTACATCTGTCCACTCACCCTAGGAATCTTCCCATTCAGTCAGTCTGCCTATTCCCTCTGAGTCTCCAAGGATTTGCTAATTCACTGTGAGAATAAGTCTATTCAAAGAATGCTGAGATTTCAACATCCCGTCTTTGCACCCACATATCTCTGTAATTTGCCCTTTCATCTCTCAGGGCCTAAGAACCTGTCCAACGCTCCTGGAGCCAAGCAAATCTGTCTGTCCAGTCTTTTTTAGTAGCCACTTAGTCACAAACACTGACCAAAGTTAGCATTTATATTTGTTTGTGTGTTAAAAATGCAAAAAACAATTATGAACGCTAACTTTGGCCAGTGTTTGTGACTAAGTGGCTGCTAAAAATTTTGCAATACCTTGGGTTGTCTACTGTTGCAAATGGTATGTCATCATGGGGCTAATTCTCATTCCTGGGCTACCATACGCTCTCAAATCTGGCAAAATCTGGCAAATTTCAATGAAAAAAAAATTAAAATTAAAATCAAGCCTTATATCGGACTCTGTAACTTTCAAAAACACTATAAAACCGTACATGGGGGTACTGTTATACTCGGGAGACTTCGCTGAACACAAATATGAGTGTTTCAGAACAGTAAAACGTATCACAACAATAATATCATCAGTGAAAGTGCTGTTTGTGTGTGAAAAATGCAAGAAACGTCACTTTCACTGACAATATCATCGCTGTGATATGTTTTACTATTTTGAAACACTAATATTTGTGTTCAGCGAAGTCTCTCGAGTAAAACAGTCCCCCCCATGCACAGGTTTTCAGGTGTCATAGAAAGTTACAGGGTTAAACACAGTGCTGGCAAATTAAATTCTCTGGACTTTCGGCCTGGGTTGTCAGGCAGGTCCCTCAAATTGCAATCAATAAAATTACTTAATTATGTAAAAATATTACATAAATATGCACATAGAATTTAAATAGATATACATATTTATATATTTGAAGTCTAAGTGTATATTTATGAAATTATTTATGTAATTATGTATATGGACATATGTGTATTTCTTATTATTTTTATTAATTTATATTATATATAATTTCATTCATTTTGATATAAAAATACAGGGGCAACACCAGAAATTTTGGGGCCCCTAACTCAGCTCAGGGTCTGGGCCCCCTGGGGCCTGCCTCCAATCCCGCCCACAGGGCCCGCCTCCAAATCCCACCCACAGGAATACACACACAGACACAAACACACACACTGATACAAAAGGACACAGATACACACACACAGATACATACTAACAGACATACATACTGAAACAGACATACACGCATATAGGCATACATACTGACACACACATACTGAGACATACACACACATATAGACACACAGGCATACATAGTGACAGACAGACACATACTAACATACATACAGACACACATGCATGAGGACATACAGACACATACATACATACACACATACATTCATAATGACATACAGACATATATACATTCATATATACATACATGCATACTGACATACATGCATACAGACATTGACATCCATACACGCATACACAGACATACATTCATAATGGCATACAGACATACATACATACATTCATACTGGCATACATGCATATATACAGACATACATACATACATGCATACTGACATCCATACACACATACATACGTTCATAATGACATGCAGGCATACATTCATACTGACATACATACATGCATACAGACATGTATATATATTTCCTGGCCATATCCATGGCAGCACAACAATGGGTAGCTCCTCCCTATCCCTAACCAGACAGGAACCTAATTAAAACAGAAGGTATAAGTAACCCCTCCTACCCCTCCCACCCTCAGTCTTTTTGTTCCTGTCCTATCCCTAGGACAGATTTAGTCATTCTAAGACTAGAGAATTTTTTCTTTTTGGCTTACCTGAGGGTTGTTACCTTCTCCCTCAAGGGAGTTCAGCCTCTCTCCCTTGGGCAGTCTCCAGTACACGGCCCTGTGCAAAGGTGACCCCCTGGAGAGACCCCTTTAGTGACCGGGGGTTCTAACTTGCTGTGACCCTAGGGGTAGCAAGATCATGCCATCACCATGATTCCTGCAGTGACCAAGAGGTAGCAGGCTGGGCATGCACATACAGGGCATATGGATTTACTTGCGGTGACCCTAGGGGTAGCAAGATTATGCCATCCTCCTGTCTCCTGCAGTGACCAAGGGGTAGCAGGCCAGACATGCAAATACAGTGCACATGGATTGCAAGGGTCAATATTGACTAACATTCCATCGCTGAAGGAGTTAATGTGAGACAGACTAGCATTCCATCGCTGAAAGGGTTAAAGTACAACTTACTATCTTTTACTTTGCCATGGATTTACTTGCTGTGAACCTAGGGGTAGCAAGATTATGCAATCAGCCTATTTCCTGCAGTGACCAACGAGTAGCAGGCCGGACATGCACACGGATTGCAAAGATTCTATGAGATTAACATTTCATCACTGAAAGAGTTAATGTGAGATGGACTAGCATTCCATCACTGAAAGGCTTAAAGCACAACTCACTATCTTGTACTTTCCCATGGATTTACTTGCTGTGACCCTAAAGGTAGCAAGATTTTGTCATCAGCCTATTTCCTGCAGTGACCAAGGAGTAGCAGGCTGGGCAGGCACATACAGAGCAAATATATGGATATAACCCCTTCTACCCTTCATCGGTTTCATCTAAACGGTAAGAGATTCCTGCTAATCTGAATTTCTATCAAACGTATTCCTAGGCTTCTGTGTCTTATTCCAAGGCCTCTGTGTCTTTTAATATATCCACTGGGTTACTTATTCCTAGGCCTCTGCTGGGCCTTTTAATATAGCAGTTGGATTCATTTATTCCTAGGCCTCTGCTGGGCCTTTTAATATAAGCACTGGAGTCACTTATTCAGAGGCTTCTGTGTCTTTTAATATATCCACTGGATTACTTATTCCTAGGCCTCTGCTGGGCCTTTTAATATAGCAGCTGGATTAATTTATTCCTAGGCCACTGTCGGGCCTTTTAATATAGCCACCGGAGTCACTTATTTCTAGACTTCTGTGTCTTTTAATGTATCCACTGGATTACTTATTCCTAGGCCTCTGTTGGGGCTTTTAATATAGCAGCTGCATTAATTTATTCCTAGGCCTCTGTTGGGCCTTTTAATGTATCCACTGGATTACTTATTCCTAGGCCTCCGCTGGGCCTTTTAATATAGCAGCTGCATTAATTTATTCCTAGGCCACTGTTGGGCCTTTTAATATAGCCACTGGAGTCACTTATTCCGAGGTTTCTGTGTCTTTTAATGTATCCACTGAATTACTTATCTCTAGGCCTCTGTTGGGCCTTTTAACTGGAGTCACTTACCCATAGGCTCCTGTGTCTTACTCCTAAGCCTCTGTATCTTTTAATACAGCCACTGGAGTCACCTTTTCCTAGGCATTTGGTATGCCTTTTAATATAGCAGGGAGCTTTTTCCTAGGCCTCTGTTGGGCCTTTTATTTTAACCGCTGGATTTACTTATTCCTAGGCCTCTGTTAAACCTTTTTTTCCTGACATTATTCATGGCAGCATTTACTCATGGGTTAGCTCCTCCCCTCACAGCAGAAAGGACAGGAAATAGAACTCTGAAACTGGTATAAATAGATCCTCCCCCTTCCCATCAGGCAGTCTTTTTTCCTGTCCTTCACAGCAGTTTGGAAGGAGTCTGCTTATGCAGGCCTAGATTTTCTTTTATGCTCACCAGGCAATATTTTTGTAGCCATGCCGGGGTTCAGCCTCTAAGCCCTGAAGACCCAGCAACGCACTATTGTTAATACTGCAAACCTGGGTACCCCCTTTAGTGACCGGGGGTCGGACCCAACCTCTCCCTTAAGGGATGAAAATGGTCCACTGCATGCCAGGGTTCAGCCTCTTATCCCTGAAGACCCAGCAACAGGCCAGCTTGGGTACCCCCTCAGGGGATGAATGCGATATGCTGCCTACATGAAGCCAGGCCTGGGTTCAGCCTCTTATCCCTGAAGACCCAGCAACAGCCCAGCTTGGGTACCCACTCAGGGGATGAATGTGATATATTGCCTACATAATACCAGGCCAGGGTTCAGCCTCTTATCCCTGAAGACCCAGCAAACAG